AAGAACCCAATTATAGCACGGCACCGCCAGCCCCGAGACCTGCCACCACACATACCACTGCCGCGGCACAGGAGGAAACATTTCCTGAAGCTCCACAAACAACCCATCCTTGGGGACTTTTATTTCAAGGTTCTTGACTGTTAAAGTAAATGAGCCTCACGTTAAAGACCAGCTACATTGCAAACCCACTGCTGCAAGGACAGCGCGTGTCTGCAGAGGCAATCGCTTACTCCCAGCCACAACCATCATATGCTAAGCGACACCGCCAGCGACATGTTTACCTCTGTATTTTATCTTTCATCAACCGGAGCTTTGCTTTCCCATCAGGAAAAGTCACTCCTAGGTGGAGCAGCAGCAATATCTCCCCGATGCTGACACCTCGTAAAGGCTCCCGGGGGAAATGCCGGCAGCTTCATCACTGAAGGCGATTCAAACCAGCCCAGACAAAGTCCCACTGGATGCACTGCAGGGAACGGTTTGGCTCTGGAAACTCTGGGCAGAAATTGTATTTATTAAATCATCATCACCTGGCGGTGTACCAATAGCACACTTCATACGCATATCTTGACACCGTCACACCTGCGATGGCAGCAATGGGCTACAGTGGGTACAATGCTGTGATGCTCCTCCATGGAAGCATCCTTTACAGCGTTTCTGTGTCACTCTGTGTGCCAGGACAGGGCTGTCACTTTAGTCGCCACTGAACCTCCTCACCCTCAGGGGTCCCCTGGATTTTTAGGAGCCAGTAGAACACACACCACCGGCGAGGTAACTTCCCTTGCAACAGCTGGAAGCAAAACACTGGGACACTCTGCCAAAAACCATAAAAGTTCCCACCCTAAACCAAACTTCCAAGCAGCTTCCAGCTGGGATGTCTCCTCCTCGTGCCCTGACCCTGCCCTTTTGTCCAAAAGCATCCCCAGGGAGCGATCAGATCCCCACCAGGACATGCTGCTCTCCCCAAGAGCTGCTGGTCCCTTAGCAGGACCAGAGAGCTGTCAGCTGCCCTCCTGCCTGCTCGCGGGGCTGCTGGAGGGCACGTTTTAAGCTGACACTCCATGGTATTCATTACAAGAGACACATTTATTTCTCCAGGCAAGGTACCAGCTCTTCGCAGTGCATCCCACCTGCACGAGTGATGGGGAAATGGGGCGAGCTGAAGGCACAGGGAGAAGCAACAAGCATCCCAGCTCCCTCACATTAAGGTGCACAAGGCGGTGGGGGTCTTTGGAGAGCACGTGCCGCTGGACCCCAGGCTAACTGCTGCGTCGAGGAGGGTGACGGGCAGCACTGCCTTCTGCTTACAGCTGCCTGTTAATTTTATCAGCTGAGCTATGATGCTCCCGATGGTCCTTCCCTCCTCCCTGGCACCGCAGACCTCCCGCTGACGGCGTGCACTTCTGGCTAATGCCAACATGGGATGGATTTTATGACTCAATTTTGTCTGTGGCAGTGAATCACAGGCTGCCAGGGTGCTCCACTGCTCGGTGTCCGTAGCAAGGCACCAGCCAGAGATGCACTTGAGACCCCTCTCCAAAGGACACTGCTCCAGGAAGGCAGGAATTCCTCAGGGACAGCTGCCCTCAGCATCCCAACAGCGATGCTCACCCGTAACCTTGGGATGCGTCCCCCAGGCAGCTGGGTACCCTGAGTCCCAACTGGCAAAGAGCACAGGCAAATCTGAGCATCGATAGAGATCTCCTAATACAGGAAGGGTGACGTTTCCCACCCCCAGCCTGCCCTGGCACAGCACAAGGAGCAGGCAGCTTCGGTAGCAGCTCTTTTGCCTTACTTGACCAGAGACAGGCTTATCCCAAACTGCTCCCATCCAGACTTGGATGCAAAGTCCCTGCCTCTCCCCATCGGGGCATTTGGGAGCAGAAGAGCCCGCTCAGCTCTATGGCTGGATATATGCAAGTAGAATATATGAGTGCTTATATCCAGGTCATTCCCATTCAGTTACTGCTAAGAAACTCTATTACAGCTTTTACACCACCACCAGAAGTTAAATTGAGCTTTAATTCTCTGGACCAGCGCTCCCAAACGCAGGTGGGCTCCCGGCCCCGCAGCCACAGGCGGCTGCACTGGGCTGTGCCGGTGGACCCGTGAAGAAGTTGCCTCCTCGCAGCATCTCAGCAGATAACCTTGAAAAGGCAAAGCTGTACGGGGCAGGAGAGGGCAGGAAAGGCTCGAAACACAGGCTGGGCAGAAGACGGCTAAGTGCCCACGACCCGTCACAGAGATCCCAACAACCCCTCCCGACCGTCTGGTCATTAAAAGCTGCGCCTCTGCTTTGAGTGACCGGTATTTGGGCTAGGATCACCCCAAAACCGGGCCAACACCGGTACGTGACCTCTCAGGAGCTGGTTCTGTAGCTTTAGCGGAGGTTAAGCACCAGGGTTCAACAAGCATTTTGCCAATACAAACACTGCAGGATCAGGCCCGTCGGCACCAGCCCTCTCCAGCAGCCCTGCAGACTCTCGCAAAGGGCCGGGCTCTGCTCTCCATAACACAAGTATAAATCTGAAGCAGTTCCACTGTCTTCAGCAGCATCATTTTGCATTTACACCAGCACACTGAACACAAAACAGAGCAAGCCATAAATATTTCAGCTGCTTTTGCAGCTTTGTTATTCCGTTCAAAGCAGGAAACATGACAAACCTTTGATTGTTTTGCTTAATACCAAACAATAATTCAAAGAGAGACAAACAAGCGACATTAAATGATGCCTGTGATGTACAGGAAAGCTGATGAATTAGAAGAACGTGATGAGGATGGCGTGGATCGGAGCAGCCCCTTTCCCTGCCTTTGGCTACCGCACATCACTCCGACGCCGGCCAGCGCGCACCCATCCTGCACGGCAAGGGGACAGCACCGGGCCAGGTGTGCAGGCGGTCACGCTGGGACATCCTGCACTGCCAGCATCCCCAGCACAGACCACTGCCTCCACAGCAACAGCCACCAACACCACTTTCAACAGCCTTTTAAAAAACTCCTCTAAAGGCAACGAGTGTCTCCTCCCTTGAGCATCACCACACTCCAAATCCATTTGCAAAGCAGCCATCTCCAGCCTCTCGGCAGCACGGAGGCAGCCTGGCCTGGCCCACCCACACCGCCATCCCCACCTGGCCATTTCTGAGGGTCTCTGCAGTGTCTGGGGGTGAAACATCCGTGCAGGACCACATGTCAGGGCTGCCCCAGAACCTGCAAGGCGGGTGCCTGCCGCTCTCCACTGCCCGTCCTCCATCACTCCCTCATCCCAGGTTGTCCAACACACGAAAACCACCACTGCCTGTTTGCTCAACACGTCGTTTCAGCAGCGCTTACACCAACAGACCCGCACGCCCAGGTTCACACGCAAACCAGTTACCGATGCCCCAGGGGCACGGGCTGCCCGCCCGCACTCACCTCTGGCAGCGGCATCCCGTTGATGATGAGGTCAGGCTGCTGGGGGCTCTGCCCCGTGAAGGTGTGATGGTAAATGTGGTTGGAGCCGGCGTTCCTGTTGTTCTGGCTCTCCACGTTGAGGAAGGTGCTTTCGGAGCGGCGGCAGCCCAGCGGCAGGGTCTGCTGGTGGTAGTCGAAGTAGTTGAGGGACGAAGTGAGAGAGGAGCAGCTCACAACGTTCATTTTATCCGTCTCTTCCACATCCCGTGGTACCAGGCGGATATCATTCTTGCTGATTTTCTTCTTCTTGCTTGATTTCTTTTGATGCCCGTAGGAGTACTCTGCGATTCTGGGGGACAGAATGAAAATGAACAGCTGAGAGCATCCTGAACCCTGCCCTGCTAAATACACATGCAGAAACCTGGAGGGCTTGGCCCCCATCTCCATGTAGGCTTCTTAGTCATGCACATTACGTCATGTTTTGGATCTGGTGGCACGACATGGTCTTTAGCTTATTTTCATATCTGTAATGCTTTCAGGTCAAATATGAAAAATAATGGGAAGGAAGAATGCCTCTGTTTTTTTTCTAGTGTTTGTAATTGCTGATATTTAGTTACTAGAAGTAAAGTCCAGCCTGCAGAAGAGAAAAATGGAGATGTTAAAATCCATGAACTGAAAAGGGTACCTGCATTCATTTCCATGCATAATAAGGATTTTGAAAGTGATTTAATTTGGTTCCTGTAATGAAAATTCAAAATGAATAGCGAATTTTTTTCCCAGTTCATTTTCCATAGCAGTAAATAAAGCAGACCCAGAAGCAGTCCTAGCTGGCAAGCTCTATTCTCTCACACTCCAAAGTCTGTTTGTTTATTAATGCTTTATCCAAATTGCTGGTGTTTTGACTATCTGCTGATAATACCTGATAACTCAAAATCTTTTCTCCAACCGCATCCTATTGCTCTCTTGCACTCTGACACACACACCCCCCAGTCTGCTGGGAAATGCTTTCGTCTTCTAGAAACTGGAGAACAAGAACTGTGTTTTGCAAAAAGAAATTATCTTTTTGATTTTTTTTTTTTTTTAACTGAAAGCTTGTTTTTCTCTGCCTTTCTTTCCCTCTTTGCTTCCCACCCGCCAAAAGAATCAACTGACAAAGTGCTTCGTTTGCCTACTGCAAAACACTGGAGGAAAAAAGTTACCATAAAACACCGCCCGAGCAAATAATGACAAATATGACTGCACCTTGCATTAACTGGGTATGCTCGGCTCACAGTGACTGTGGCTCCTCTTTCCTTAGGGAGCAACACAGCCCCAGCCAATGCCCCACAGATGAATTTGTACACACACGGCACTGGGAAGCTTGGTATTTCCCAGGGAAGCACATCAAATGCTACCCACAGTCAGAAACACCCACTTGAAAGTCAGGACTTTGCTCCTCTTCTTGTTATGATAAAAGCATTAAAAAAAAAAAAAAAGGAAAAAAATCCAATAGCTGCAACAGAAATAATGGGATGAATAAATAATACAGTTTATCTAGAAAGGCAAATATTGGACAAATATTCTTGTTCCAGAAAGCTAATTGCCCAAGCATGAAAATGCCACCAAGTCAAACAGCTCTCATATAACCTTATGTGTCTCATAAATTAACACGTTTTATGAAGACTCTCCAGCGGCTGTTGTGAAGAACCTCTAAAACCAGGCACTGCAAAGCCCAAAGGCACACACCCGGCGTGGGGAGAGGGTGCCCCACGGTCACAGCCGCTGCTGAGCCTACCTGGTGCTTCCCTCCCTCCGCAGCCGACTTCTCCAGCTCAGATGCACCCTGATAACAGCCCGCGCATCCCCCCGAGCGTGCAAATAAATCAGGGGAAGGCAGGGATTTCTGTTGTGCCAACAATCTATATGCTGCTGACTTGTCTAACAATGCTTGATGAAGCTTTAATTGTTTTGTTTACCTAAATGTTTAAGTTTGGCAATGCGAGAGCCCAATTATTTCCTGCAGGCATTCATTTTGCTGTCCTTTCTCTATTGACCAATTATTTAATTAAACTGCACTTCATTAATCTCTAAGCCGTCACAGTAAACCCAGGGCTAATACATATGTGTGAAGCTCTTAGGGGCACCACCACAACGTCATTTTTATCCATTCAGGTCCTATTCTCATTTCATGGGCCGAGCTGGCAAGAAATCTGGTATATGAGCTTTCACTTGAAGCTAGACATCCCATAATACAGCACAGACTGACCTTTATTCGCAGATGATTTTTTCCCCATCGAGCAAAAAGGCTTATAAACGCGCTTTATGCTGTGAAAACAGGGTATAAAACCCAAACTCTCCGGCATTATTTCCTGCGTAAATAAAACTTTAAAGACCGCACATCCCCCTGCGCCGCAGAATTGCCGAGGGCGAGCGTGCGTTTCCAAGGTAGAGCAAAATTAATTTCCATCCTTCCCCTCTGAAACGACTCGCTGCCGAAGGAATGGAGAAGTCATGGCTATTTCACTAGTAACAGGATTAAACCATTTATGAGGCATTGCAGCTGCTCTTTTATGGCATCTGATTGATATTCATGTGTGGTTAGCATTTGTCTCCTAACTTGTGTAACACAGAGAATAGTAAAAGAGAGACAATAATCGCCGGGCTGTTACATATTCAGGGGACTGGATTTCCCCTATCAGCCTTTCAGTGGCTCCAGGCGCGGGGCTGACCTCCCCTCCAGCATTTCGGACCCGGGAGCACGCATCCAGCCAGGGCAAAAGAACGCAGCGCTGCAAAAATCCTCCCTCGCCCCATCGCTCCCAGCCCAACCGGCCATGCCGGGTGCTGGAGCGGTGCATTGCGGGGGGGTAAACTGGGTGATTTTCACCACTATTTTATCCACTTGGCCCCATCGTCAGCCGTGGCGAGGAGCCGCATCGGGCACACAATAGCTCCTTTGAAT